CTGGCTTCTCCCACGCTGTTGGACGGACAAAGGGTATCAGGGCTGCGAGCTAGCTGGCTTGCTAACGTTAGTCAGCTGTGTTTCTCTGATAATTAAGATCAGACGTCTGATGACAAAAATCTTCATTCGGTTAATCTAGAGTTAAAAAGCACTAGATCTAAACAGTGGGATGTTAGAAGATCTACTAAAAATACAACCTTTGAAGCATTGTTGGAGACATTTGGGATAATATAAAACTCAGACTACCAGATAAGAAAGTGGAGTTTATGACATGTTTAATCGATGTACAGTACTTAACCACTACAGCAGTGAAATTCCTGATTACTTAATGCTTATTAAGTTATTTGTATACTTCGGCTCCAAACTGTATAAGATAAGATCCGCTAACATGTTGGGGTGTGTTGGAGTGTAATGATACCAGACTGGTTCCATTCCCTCCTCACTCTCTACAAGACGAGAAGTTTTCATAATTGTTTGAAATGTGCCATTGGGGCTGCTCTTTAGGGGGCGCTGTCGAGCCATTTTGCCACGCCCATGTGCGAGACCCAAAGAATATGTAAATTTCCACCACCGCTGATATGTGTGCCACATTTCACGAGTTTTGGAGCATGTTGTTGATGCCAAAAATTAGGTTAATTTTGATTAATAATAATAATAAAAAGGAAAAAATGCATCTGCTTCCACCACCAACGCTAGTATGTTTGTTCTGCAGTGAGAAATTAGCATTTTAAGGCTTTAATATGCAGCTGCAGACAGATCTTTGGGGGGTTTTGGGGCCAAAGTCTTAACCTTCAAACAGACCTTTGAAATACTGACAATTGGCCAAAATGTCCTCACCACAATCATTACCTGAAATTGGTCCTCACAAACATAGCAATTCAATCCCACACACACAGACCCACCTCATTTAATCTCAGATAAATCAATCCACTCACTCGCACATCGTCCCACGCTGATGATGCCAGCACGGTGGTTTGATGATGTGATGATGGGCACTGGGTCACCCAGACAACGGATGTGTCAATCCCAACTCGCCAACGCTGACCCAGATTACACCATTGTGTGTCAGTACGAGTGTGTGTGCGTGTGTGTGAGCATTAATGCATTTGAAATACAGTAGGACTCTGTGTGCTATCTCAAATGTGATTGTGTGTCCCTGTGTGTATTCTGTGTGTGTGTGTGTGTGTGAGAATGTGTGTGTGTGTATTGTGTGAGTCGGGGGGATTCGTGTGCATTAATCTGGATTATATTCCAGGTCTGGAGCAGATGGAGGGGTGGGAAACAAACTGACGTCTGCAGTGAAGATCATCAATATCAAACACACAGATATAGATGCAACTGTTTCCATAATCTGCATTGTGGATTAAAATATTAGTGTAAGAATTAAAAGCTCCTAAGATAAACGCTGTGGATCTATCTCTGTGTATTTACATCAAGAGATATTTATTGTTACCCACAGATGGTGGTAATTAAGTAACCGTCTGTCTTTCTTGCATCGACTTCTAAAAATTATTTTGGGTTGGGTTTAATCAACAAAAGCACTTTGGTTTGGTTTGGAGCAAGTGTGAATCTTTTGTGACTTCCTGGTTTGAGGAGTACTGATTTAAAGCCTCGAGTTTGGTGTTATGGTCGTTGCCGTGTTGGTTTTCTGGAGCTGGCAGCGGTGAGCGGTTGCACTTATTTTCGGCTCATCCGTAGCGGGAAAAACGGCGGCTCGCCTCGTCACACACACGTTCTTTTATTCCAGATAAGCAGGAGAAAAAAGGCAACAGAATCTGGATTCATATTTCATCAGCACTGCGTAATTTGACTGTTTGATCAGAGTTTGTCAATCACAATGAAGCCCCGCCCTAAAGCATACCCTGCTTTATGGTCTATTTTATTCTAAATGAGACCACAATTTACTAAATGAACATCATGCTGTACGGAAGAAGACTTGAGGCCATAAACTCTTTACTGAGCTAATAAATCAAGTGAGAAGTTCAATACTATAAAAAAATGTTTTGCAGCCTGCTGGCTATTAAAAAGAATACAGTTTTAAGATTTAACTTCACAGACCCACTAATACTCTCAGTGGTCGGGGAAAGATGGTGGTTTTGGTTAAATATAGAAAAACACACAAACTTTTACACACTTTTTAAACACAACTGTTAAATAACTCAAATACAGAATCCAGAACTGATATCTTATCTTCTGTCTTGACAGAACTGCGAGGTCAACAGTAGAGATGCTTTGTCCCCACAGGAATGTGAGCTTCTATCTATGTGCAACACTGTGTTGGGTTGCAACAAAAGTTCAACCTGGTTCAGGTTTTGTGTCGGCGCCCCCGCGGCGGTCCCTCGAGCGAACGTCCTGTCAGATAACAGTCAAGAAACCAACATCGAGTGCTCGTATAAACACAGGATTCATCACTGATCCTGACCCGATATCTTTTTACCGTCATTATTTTTCACGACCACAAAAGGATGCATGTCACTAAACTGTAAACATCTTTTTAAGTTTTTGAACAAAGGACAATGCTGTGATTTTTCTGATGATGACAGTCTCTTCCTTTCATTCTTCTATTGATCTTAAAATATGAAAATCCTCAAAAACTGTTTTTTTAATCAAAACTAAACTCTCTGCGTCACTGACTGCCTCTGGAAATACCTGGAAATCTTATTTGGAATAAAAAATACTCCTTTAAAAGTGCAAATCATGCATAATTTAAATGTTTACTTGAGTAAAAGTAGGTAAATATAAATATATTATGAAATATTACACGACTAAATTATTATTACAGATTAATTAACATATAAGTAGCTATTTTATACAACAACAACAATATCAACAATATAAATAAACCTTCTTAAAGAAAATAATCAATAATAAAAACAATCACTACAGTGATTGAGTGGCAGTCCTACATATTTTATCAGCTCATAAATGTTTCTTTTATCTTTATCTGTAAAGTTCTGTAGATGTCGTATAAATAACGCAGAAATACTACTGGAATATAGTGTAAGTAGTATTAAATTAAAATACTCAAGTAAAACTACCTTAGAAGCAGCGGTGAAGTATTGAGATCCTTTATTTAAATAAAAGTACTGATACCACAGTTTATAAATACTACATAAAATGTACTTAAAGTATTAAAAGTATAAAAATGTCTTGTTGTACTATAATATATAATATAACTAGAATATTCTGACTCATGTATTAATGTAAAAGCAGGATTTTACTGTTTAACTGCAACTAATGATTCATTTCAATCTGCTGCTCTTTATTAATCCATTGATTGTTTGGTATGTATTATTTAGGTGCTTTAGTTTGTAGTGAAGTACAGTACTCAAGTAAATGTTTCTGACTCACACAGTCGCACACATTGTTGCCGTCTGTCTCCTCCATCTATATGGTCAGTTGGCGTCCTGCATGTCTCTGTGGTCCTTGCCTGTCGCCCAGGGTGGGGACAACAAAAGCACCACTGTCTGCCCCACGGCCCTGCGGCATTTCCATGGACTATAATTTTACACTGAGGGAAATCTCAGCTTTTTCTTTCTCAGATAAGCCTATAGCTGTGTGTGTGTGTGTATGTGTGTGTGTGTGACCCCAGAATCCGAAGAATTAAAACCATTCCCTCCTCACTTCCCTCCAGAGACCAGAGAGTCCTGATATACACTGTGTGACATTTATTGTTATTTCTTGCATGTGCAAAGGACTCGTGTCATGTTTCTATATCGAGGTCAACCTTTAAAGGTTGTCCATGAACTTAAATTAATCTCTATAAACGTCCTATCAGCCCTCTTTCTACGTTATAGCAAGATGTCAAATGCTTATAAGTGGTTTACAAGCCAGGCCTGTATTCTGCTGGTGGACTTCCAAAAACACGCTCTTCAGTGTGTGATCTCGCCTGGCCCCAGTTCCAGGTAACAAACCTCAGATGTGATTGGCAGATTCGTTCCTATCATAAAAACAAAACAGGTTTGGCAGTTTAAAAAGCATTTGCTGAAGGCTGGTTTGTTTACCGCTGTGGTTCAACAGGAAGAAAAAACGTGTCTCACTGTACTTTGACACCGTTTGAGTAATTAAATCCATTAAAATAATTCACAAAGTTGTCTGTCTACAGGCAACGTACAATCACACAACTGTAATTTCTTTTCTTACTTACAGTAATAAATATGTTTCCTGTTTTGTGTCCCATCTTGTAAAAATAAATCTCGGATGCCATGGCTGCTTGTGGTTTGAAGAAAGAAAGTAAAAAGGGGGACAATTAACAAGTTCAACAAAGTTGCGGATGTTGTCACGTCTAACCTAAATAAATACTGTCGCCTAATTCAAAATATTTAGCATTATTTATGGACAGGTTGTTGGGTATGATTTATTATCAAAACATCATATTTTATAAGCTCCTTGTATGTTTTGTGTGTAGAAATCTTTGTTTGTGAAGTAACTGAAGCTTTCAGATAAATGTAAGGAAGTAAAAAGTACAATATTTCCCTCAGAAATGTAGTTGCTTGAAAGGAAAGGTACCTCAGACTTGTACTTTAGTAGTTCTTGAGTAAATTTATACTGTACAGAAATGACATTAGCTGGAACACAACTGTCAGAAAAAGTCTAAAACACAGCAAAAATCTACTGTTTCCGAAATGGTCAGTCGTGATGTAAAGCAAACGTTATTTGCAGCGAGTCCTTTACATGGAAAACCACTGGTGTGGTTCTTTAAAGGTTTAGTAAATAAAGGCTGTGTGTGATCCAGTCTGCTGTGAGCTTTCATTCATTACAGTGTGTCTGTGTTACGCATGCCTGGGTTGAGTCAGTATGGATTGTGTAGGAGTCTGACGTTCACGTTCTCCCAAAGCTGCCCTGAGAATCACCTCTTAATCCCGCTCCACCTCTCCACTCTCCCCCCTCTTCAGGTTGGAAGGTATGTGTGAACCGACTTGGCTATAAACCTGATTCCGACACCGGAGACTCAAACCGAAACATGGCGAGTGCCGACGGAAATGTCCTGAGACCTTAAAGCTGCGTTGGGCTGCTTATGTCTGCAGGAATTGATCCGTCTGCAGCGTTGTGTTCTGGGATTAAAAGACTCATTCGGAAACGCTGAGCACACACACAAACATTTTGGGACAACAACATGACCTTAAAGCTGCACAAAGCATGATTTTTATGTGTTATTAAGGTAAATCTGCGGCGAGATATTGTAGATTTACCCAAATAAAAGTCCAGAGCTGGATTTAGTGACCAGCAGGACAATCTGTGCAGGAGTACAAACAACGAACTTTGCTGTCGTTTGGGGTCATACAACGATAGAATATCCTTGTTTTTATGGCCATATCATCCACAGTGCATCTCTTTACGCACCGACAAAAGAGTTTGTTTTATTAAAGCTAAGCCAACACAAATTCAGGGCCTGTCAACCACATAACTAACCTCATTAATCACAGAACAAATGTGACCTCCTGAGGCTGAATTTCTCTATTAGTGAAACAGGTTGAGCAGGAACAACCATGACCAACTATTTCCTTCAGTTTGCCTGTATTTCTTATCTCTATTCCTTCAGTTTGCCAGAACCTTTAACATTAACATCGTGCAGATAAATCGAACACAACAACTTGCTCATCAACTTGTTTACATCAGCTGATTAGAAAAAGATGCATCACGGCCATATTGACCAAGGTTTAGCCCCCCGCAGCCGCAGCCATTGTGGTTTTAAATATGTTCACCACTACAGTGTGGAAACAGGACGTTAGAGCTCAGTCAGACTGGACTGCAGCAGATAGAAATTCACATGTGTCCTTGTGAAATAGGCGCCCACATTAACTCTGGTGCGGCTGGTGGTTGAGCGTTGATTAACCCTGTTTGGAAAAGCAACCAAAAACTTTGCAGGTGGGAATAAAATTGGAGCAACCGTGTCTCCAAAGATGTGTTTATTACTCATTTGTTTTTATAATTGAGTTGTGGTGACAACGTGTGCCTAGAAACATGTTTTTTTGTAATACTAAGTTCATGTAATGCGTTGAAGTTGCAAAGAGGTGATCGTTTAGGATTGTCACACTACAGTCTGGAGTTCGTTCCCAGATTCCTGCAACAGAAGCACAAAATATTCTGCAAATCCATGAGGCAGGTACATAGGAGTGGGACGAGAAGGTAGAAGAGATAAATTACCACACGCTGTCTAACTCACAATATAAACATTTTCTGCCTGCAGCAGGAAGGCATTAACGACATCAGTTCGAGGCCACATGAAAACAGATGTCATTAATGACTTCCTGCTGCAGTTGTGCAACCACTACCGGTTTAAGATGGCTTCTTATTATCCTGAACCATATGCCTGATGAAGATAGTCAGTATTGCAAGATTTAGCAGCAGAAAATGGCAGATTTCAGCCAATCATCTTCTCAGCAGAGAGGACACAATGCAGTCTGGTCTTGGCTGCGGTGTATCAGACGGTGATATACGAGGTGAGGATTGATGGCGGTGTAGAAAGGCTGCCACAGTAGGAAGTGCCTCCTGCACTGTACTTCTGCAGGAGCTAATGATGTCCTGGGTGGTGATGGTGTCCAGGACGCAGAAGGACTGGGGAATGGCACATCTGTAATGTTTCGTTACATCAGGAGTTAAATGAGTTCCAGTTCTGAAATTATAAATACAAAAATGTTACTCTATAAAATGCCTCAAACATACTCTCACTGGGTGTGAGATGGGAAAAAGGGAAGCAGTAAGGAGAATTGAAAGGTAGTGACCTTCTGTTTCACGTTTTTTCCCACCAACAGCAGCCGTTGTCAGGGCTACGCTAAATGTTGAGCCTGCACTGCTGGTGGTTTTTACAAGTCACGCCGGGACAAAGCCAAGCTGCGGGCGGGAGCTTTATGGTCCTGGCTGTCAGATAAACTTCATTAAATAAAGTGTTTATTGAGCTGCCGGACTGCTAACATTCAAGTGGAATTAACACACTTTACATCCACGTTCACACAAAAAGCACACAGACACTTTCGAGTACAAACTTTTTGGGTTTTTTTCTCTTTTCGTCCTTGAGAGTGAAAATATATAACCCGGTAAACCACGTCCAGATGGAGGTCACAGACAAACCCAAATCAGTGTGTGTGAGACTGTGTGTGTGTGTGCCCTAAATCAGCAGACATGGTTTTGGTGATTTGCAGCTCAAAAGGCAACATAATTTTCAGTGACGTCTGAAATACCAAAGATGAAGTTTTTGAACTTAATACTTAATTCTGCTTGTTTTTTATATTTGTTGTATATTGAGTAGCAATGATGTGAAGATGTGTTGAAGAGAAGTCCGCTGACACCGTCTTGATTGTATATAAAGGTTTA